TGAGAAGGCCTAATGAGATTTCTGCTCCTATAACGCATACAGTGATCCAAATGGGCGAGGGTCCTTCCTAAGCTGGCAGCTGAAGTTGGCCGTGCCATCTGCATGGTACTGCTTTTAAGGCATGGAATATTTAGGAGTGAGAGGGTTGTGGAGTCTTCTGCAGCTCAGAGAGCACTGAGGCCAGGCAAGCATGACAGGAGAGGCCCTGTGAGAAGGCTGCAAGGGGCTACTGCATGAAGCTGTGAAAGTAAAGCCTGGGTTGCAGTGAAGACCCCAAGATGTTGAAGATGTCAGAGCCATGAGACACCTGCCAAGGAGAGCTGCACACATGGAGTGGAACCAGCCCAAGAGAGAGATGTTTGCTGCAAATGGCAAAGCTGGGGCCGGGGGCGGGGGTGGAGATCCATCTGAGCCCTTTGGAACTAAAGCTCCAGATATCAGACACAGAGCTACAGGATCTGGTGTTTTCCCTGCTGGGTTTCAGTCTTGGTTTGGTCCAGTATTTCCCTACCTTGCCCCCATTTCTCCTTTTTGGAATGGAAATGTGTAAATCTGTGGCATTGTATGTTGGAAGTATGTACTTTGTGTTTTGATTTACGGGAGGTCACAGTTCAGAGATTGCCTTGAGTCTCAAAATAGGCTTTGGGCTTTTGAATAGTGTTGAGATTGTTAGAAACTATGAGGGCTTGAAGTTTAAACACATTTTGTAATATGGTATGGCTGTGAGCCTATGGATTCCAGGGAGTAGAAATGTGGTGGTTTGAATGAGAAATGTCCCCCACAGGCTCAGGTATTTTAACACCTAGTCTCCAGTTAGTGGCACCATTTGGGGAGGTTAAGGACTCTTTAGAAGGTAGAGACTTGCTAGCGGAACTATGTCATTCAGAGCAGGCTTTGAAAGTTCATAGCCTCACCCCACTTCCAGTTTACTCTTTCTGGTTGTTTGCAGTTGAAGATATGATTTCTTAGCTTCCTGCTCTGGCTGCCTGTTGTCATGCCTCCCCTGACACTAAGAGACTCTCTCTCTCTTGAGCTAACTATAAGCCAAAATAAAGTCTTTCTTCCATAAGTCACTTTTGGTCACAGTGCTTTATGACAGCAACAAAAAAGTCACAGTATATGTAAGTGAACAATCTTAGTCAAGATGTTATTTGGTTGATCAGGGTCTCAGCTCTGATTCTACAAGTGGTCTAAAGAAGCCCCTATTGCTTGGGAAAGTAAAGTGGCCCTCTGGATATGATGGTTTCTGCTTGAGGATACAGTCTCACCTTCTTGGACAACTTTTCTGAGAGATGATCCTCTAGGCTCTGCTCTTCCCAGAATCCAAAAATTGGAGCAATGACCAAGTCCTTTCAACTTTCCTTAAGCACTTAATGTGCTTTTTTAAAAAATGAAGATCATGATAATAGTTTATAGCTTTTATGTGTGTCAGGTTTCTAATTACAGAAACAGGGTCTTAAAAGAGTCAGGTTTATTTAGAATATTACCTCTGTCAAACTGTATCTGTTATACAATAGCTAGATTTTAAAGCACAATTCACTTTTCAGTACTGTAACTGATCTTCTGCCACTGTACTTTGGAGGTCAAAGTCAACAAGGATATAGAGGATAAAAGAACAACTAATATTTTGGCCTTGCCCCCAGGGGATGATGGTCAAATATGTCCCAGGGAATGATGAGATATCTGTGAAAGCATTCTGCAGCTCTGGTAAGCCACTTGTCCTCTTGATCAGAGAGGCCATGTATACCTCAGAGGTTGGACTCTAACCAGTCCTCTTCTGCAAAGAGGAAGGTCAACACAGAGAAAATGTCCACAGTGCTTCAAGGGAACTCATGGCCAGCAAGACTTTGACCCATCTTAGAAGATGGCACAACTGGTAAAGAAGACTAAGAGAGCCAAAAGACTCCTCCTACATCTTGGAGAATAATAGTTAAAGAACTCAACTGATTCTAACAAAGGTCTTAAACACTAAGCAGAAAGTATAATCAAAGAATAAAACAATTGATAATAATAACACCAAAGGAAACAAACCAAACAACAAAACTAGACTCTAAGAAGAGACAAAAGTAATTCAGGCCTTATACATTAACTCCTGTGTACTGACATGCCAATTAAAACATCACAAAAACTCTGGCTATAATACAAAGATAAGCTTAGCTTCTAAAATTGCATCTAGATAGGTCCATCTAAATTTATCAGTAGTAACTTTCATGTTTCAGTTTTCTTTTGACACTGTTAGCACTCAGTTGTTACAAACCCGCATTTCCTGTCCATGTATTCCACCACTGAATTCCCTCCTTTTTTTTTTTTTCCTTTCAGTTTTTTTGAGACAGTGTCTTCCTAGCGGTCTGGAACTCACTATGTAGATCAAACTGGCTTCGCTCTCACAGAGATCTGCCTGCCTCTGCCTTTTCACATGCTGGGATTCAAGGAGTGTGCCACATTGATCACCTGGATTCCTTCTTAAAGTTGTTTCGTTTGTATCTTGCCACATTCTTAATATACAGCTATTGCTATTTTTAAAAAGACAACCCAAGGAATCACAGCCCTAAGAACAAGCTACGAAGAGTGACTCTCTTGAAACAAACACAGCCACGGCTCTTGTGGCTTCCCCTTTTTGGGACTGTCAACTGACATAATCACGTTATTTTGTTATTCTAACTTAAACCTTATATTTTTTCTTTAAACTATTTTATTTTTATTTTATGTGTATGAGTATATTGCCCGCATGTATGTGAGTGCACCTGTGTTGTGCAATGCTGCAGAGATCCGAAGAGGGCTTCAGATTCCCCTGGAACTGGAGTTGAGGACAGGTCATAGCTGCTATGTGGGTGCCGGGGATTGAACCTGGGTCCTCTGCAAGAGCAGTCAGTGCTCTTAACTGCTGAGCCATCTCTCCAGCCCCTTAAACCTTATATTTTAATCTTGTGAAATTTCTGTCTTCTGGGATATGTAACAATTTCAAACGAAACTCTGTATGATACAGGGATTACAACCATCTCCTGCTACAGAAAATCCAAAGCTGCTTCTTCAACCCAGATAAAGTAGGGAGTCTTGTGGCTTCTCTTAGGCAGAGAAAAAAGACAAAATATTGACAATATGGCCCTTGCAAAAAGACAAAAAAAATATTGATTGATCATCACTCTTCTCATCCATAAGATTCTTGGGATCACAGCCCTCAGGACAGAATTGTTTCATGAGACTAGAGACTATATCAGGCGGTATCAGTAAGCTATATCAGTATTACTGTATAAAAGAAGCCAATTGGCAGAGAAAGGCCAAGAGTCCTTCAGCATCTGGACTTAATACAACAAATGGAGTGTACTCAAGGAAAGTCCAATCTACATGAATGTGGGAGAGGAGGGCACTGGGGATGATGTACAAAGTTATTGGCCTCCTGGCCCAGTGCTTTTGGAGTGCATGCTTTTCTTTCAGCTCACTAATCCACTCCCATTGAGAGTGCTTTCCCTTTCTTCTTTCTCTTGAGGCAGGGTCTCGCTGTAGCCCCAACTGGCCTGGAACTCACTGTGTAGACCAGGCTGGTCTGGATCTCTGTGAGATCTGTCTGCCTCTGCCTCCAGAGTGTTGGGATTAAAGGCATGGGCCACCACACCCGGCTGCTTCCCTTTCTTAATAAACTGTATTTCTATTTCTAACCATGTGTCCCTGGTTCAGCTCTTTGCAGTGGGCCACAAGAGCCTGTATACTTCAACAGCTATCTCTGGGTCACTTCTGTAAGTACCCTTTGGACCCAAATCTATACCTGTAACATTGATCAACAGAAACATTCAGATGGGAAGAAAAAATGTAACAAGATGATGGGCTAGTAGTGTATTAGGGCTATGGCTGGAACACAGATCAATAGAAAATCATGCATTCCTAGAAAGACAAAGAAGTGCATTTGAAGAGGGGAATAAACTCTGTATTTTTCTTCTCATGTGGCCCAGACTAGCTTTGAACTCGCTGTGGCTGACTTTGGATTCTTGGTCCTCTTGACTCTACCTTTTGAGTCCTGAGAATAGACCAGAGTTACTATTCTTGGCTCTAACCTCCTCTTCACATACTCAAGAGTACACCTTTCAAAGAATCCTTTCCTTTGTCAATGTCAACACTTAAATATATATAAATTTTATGTGTAAGAGTGTATTCCCTGAATGTATGTAAGCGCACCCGTATCAGGAAATGCCTGTGGAGGTCAAAAGAGGGTGTAAAACTTCTGGAATAGGAGTTATGGATAGTTGTTAGTTGCCATGTGGATGCTAGGAATAGAACCTGGGTCCTTAATCACTGAGCCATGGTGTGAACGCTTATCACTTTTTCAAGCATGTAAATTACTGGGCTTTTTTCCTACAATAAACATCTTTACAGAATCTTTCTCTATTAATCCAGTTTCTCTTCAAGTTCCAGCTCTTTTCTATAGTTTGTTTTTAAGTGTACTCAGTGCACTGAGACACAAACATGTTCAAGTATTTCGAAACATCTAAGGAACTGCCGCTGCTTCCAAGTTAAAGCCAACATTTAGAAACTTGTTAGGAATACAAGTTTTCTAGCTTTTCCTCAAATCTAGAGACCGCAAAATCCAGCTATCTATATTTTGATAAATCTTGGCATTTCTGGAGTTTCAACTTGAGTCCCTCCCCCGAGCCTTAGATGTGCACCCCCCCAACCCCATTAGATAAAGTACTACTTCCTCTGGTCTCCTGACAGTTCATCCCTCATTAAAACAACGGTTATGGAATTCTATCTACTTGGGGTTTTACTTTAGGGTCAGTGATTGCTCAACCTACAATAGGCAGCAGCCGAGTCCAGTTCGTGCTTCGGGGTGCATGCACAGTAGGAGCCACCCTGGTCGCCGCGTGCACTCGACCCGGAACCCCGGGCACCCCGCCTTCGGCGCAGAGCCGGTCCTCAGAACAGGAACTACATCCGGCAGCGACCGGTGGGGTTAGAGGGTTTCCAAGGGGAGGTGCCGGAGGGAAGTGGCTTCCGGAGTGGGCGGTGCACGCGCGGCTCCCGTGTGGCTCTCGTGAGCGATGTCCCGAGGAGGCCGCGCTGGCGGCTACAAGGTAAGCGGTAGGCTGGGGAGGAGGCGCGAGTTCGGGTGTAGAGGCCCGGCGCCAGGCTTGTTGCCTGGAAAGGCGGAGGGCCGGACCTGTAGCCGGGGGTTGGGGGCGGGGCCTGGAGCCTAGGGGCGGGGCCTGGAGCCTGGAAGGGCCTGAGGGGGCGGAGTCTGGAGTACCCGGGCGGCTGCGGGTCGGGCCTGGTCGCGGGGCCCCGAGAGGCGGGCGGAAGGGGGCGGAAGGGGGCGGGGCCTGGAGCTCGGTGTACGGAGTGGGCGGGGCCTGAAGCCCAGGGACTGAGGGGGGCAGGGCCTGGAGCCTGGAGAGGCCGGCAGGGGCCGGGGACTGGAGCCCCAGGGATGCCAGGCAGCGGGTTTAGAAGCTGTTTCCTGGGCCGCATTTCAGGGGCGCAGCGCGCCTAGTCACTATGCCGTCCTTGTGCTGCCTCTGCCTTTTCAAAGTTCCCAGTTTACAGATTCCTGTTTCCTAATACTCCAAATTTAAAACAGCAAACGGTGCTTCCTGCCTCGGCCTACTCTTCATTTTACCCCCAAATTGCTGGAGAATATTTCACATAATTGGCTCCACTTCCTTATCACTACCATTATTTTTTAAGTAGTATTGATTGTCAGACCACTCCGCCAAGGGACCGGACCCGTGCCGCACATAAGTACTGATTTTACATCACATTCAATTTGGAAAAATTAAAAGATGAAAGAGTAGAAAATTAGAAAATTGCTGAACCATAAGTCATTTTATTGCAGCGTTGTCTTGTCACCTGCTTTCTTTTAAGCATCCCTGATGTTGCTATCACCTTTCATGACTATTCCCTTACTTCTTTCTTGCCAGTTCTAGATTTTGTCTGAGTTTCTCCAACTTTAGGAGCTTGCCCTAGATAGCACATTGATACTGACTGCCACTGCTGTGTGGACAGTTAACAATGTATTATGAACTCATCCTCCCACTTTTAGTCTCCCAGGTCCCGACCTAGAAGTATTAGTGTTTTTGACTTACTTATTTCTGCTTTCTTCATTTTATTATTTTTCCATAATTTTTCTTTTCAGTAGTTGAGTTTGATTACTGTGTAAAAATTATCTCAAAACTAAAGCATTGTGCAACAAATATTTTACTGCTGCTTGAGGGCCAGGAATCTGACTGGTTCAACTGTGGTTGTAGCCCCAGGTTTCCTACAGGATTTTCTCCCAGGTTGGCAAGTCTTTGTTTCCCTAGGGCAGCTCACAAGACAGGAGTTGACTTTCCCAACATCAGACAATGCAGAGGCACTGGTATCTTTTTGTTTTTAGAGAAAGGATCTCACCATATAAATGAGACTGACCTTGAACTTCTGATACTCCAGTTCTTGACTCCCAAGTACTAGGATTACAAGATTTTATTTAAACTTTTTTGAGGGGGGGGAAGGGAAGGAATTGGGTACCACTATGTGGCTCTCACTAGCCTGGAACTTGATATGTAGACCATGCTGACCTCAAACCTGCAGCAATTCTCCTGCCCCTACCTCCTTGGGGTTGGGATTACCGATGTGAGCCACCACACCAGATTTCATTGAATTCTTTGGAAAATCCTCCGAGGTCAGTACTACTAGTCTCATTTTATGGATCTTAGCGTTTATGGATCTCATTTTTCTGACTCTGAGCAGCAAGGTTTGGTGATTTGCCTGAAGTGCGTCACAGCTGAGTGAAGAAGCTAGGATTTTGTATCCAGGGTGTCAGTTACAGATCTTGTTTTCTGTCTGTGCTCTTTCATGGCTTCATGGTTTGGGCATGCCTGATTCTCTACTGAATAGCTTTCATCATTATTTCTCCTCTGGTAATTTAGCCTTCTTGTTGTTTTTGACTTGGTGTTTGCTCACATTCTTGACTTGGAATAATGTCATATCTCTTGTTTCTACCTACTGGTAGTCTTAACCATCCATCAAGGCCCACCTTCTCCCAAATCATCCCACTTAGGAGCTTTCTTCTGTATTCCTGTGAAATTTTGTCATTCTTAACAGCTTCATGTCTTGTATTAGGTTTATTTGTGTCTATACCTTTATTCCTCAATAGAGGCTGTAACATTAGGATCTGTGTCTCCAACCATGCTCCTTAGAGCAACTGCTATAATCACTTGTGCATATCATGAACCTAATAAATATCTGATGAACTTGTATTTCAGGTGTGAAGAAACATGGAAAAAATACCCTGGTTATAAATCCTGGATATCAGTCTCAGCTTTTCAACTTCTTGGAGATGCAGTTTTGGATAAGACACTGTCAACCTAAATAACACCTAGAGAGATATCTCTGAAAACTAATGATGCTCATTTGGGAATAACAGAATGCTTCATGACAATACATGTACATGTATTCAAAGAGATTGAGGCAAGGGGAATTTTTTAGAGGCAAAAATAAAGGTGGTGACTCAGAATTATTGAAATAATTCTTGGCCACAAGGATTAATAACCAGGGTAGTATCAGTCTTATGTTAGATTCTGGACAGATGTCTCTGTAGAAATACTTCTCATGTGAAGCTGCAATGGCCTTTGTATGTAATTCTGATAGAATCTTTTGTGATAGCTCTGTAAAGGTGAGTCTGTTTTCTTCATAATCTCTTGTCTTTTTCTGTTTTTTGTTAGGATTGCTACAAATGACTTATTTTGATTCCAATAACTTTAATACCATTTGGATATTTCTGGGCCATTAGGATGAAAGATGATACAAGTGGTGGTAGAATTGAGAACAGTATGAAGAAGACTGAGTTAATAGAGCACAAAAGGCAGATGAGATCTAGGCAGCTAAACTAAAAGATAAAGAAGAGTCCAGGCTGCAGAGGTGGCTGAGAGGTTAAAAGTGTGCACTGCTCTTGCAGAAGGACCCGAGTTCAGGGGATAGCACCCACATCAGGCAAGTCATAACTGCCTATAACTTCAGCTCCAGGGAATCTGATGCCGTCCTGCCTCTATGAGTACCTGCACTCATATGCACAGATATACATGAACACACAATTAAAAATCTTAAAATGTTTTCATTGTAGAGGTCTTTAATCTCCTTGGTTAGGTTTATTTTTAGATATATTGTTTGGAACTACTGTGAATGAGTTTCCCTCCTAATTTCTTTATTATTATTATTTTTTGAAAGTTGTTACTATTATATGGGAATATTGCTGACCTGAATTAGATTTACTTTTTATTATTGTGTCTGTGTATTGTGTATGATGTATTGGTGGGCACTCATGTCTCATGTGGTGGTCAGAGGACAACTCTGTGGGATTGGTTTGCTCTTCCCACTTTAACATAGGTTCCAGGGATGGCGCTCAGGTCCTGGGCTTGTACAGCCAGTGTCTTTACGAGCTGAGCCATCTCCCCAGCCCAAAGTTTTAACCATTTTCTTTTTAGAAATAATTACATTTATTAACGTGTGTGTGTGTGTGTGTGTGTGTGTGTGTGTGTGTGTGTACACAGTGTTATCCGTTTTTTTTTTATAGATATTTATATATATTATCGTGTGTGTGTGTGTGTGTGTGTGTGTGTGTGTGTGTGTGTTTGTACACATGGGGTGCTATGACACGTGTGAAGTCGGTTTGCTGCCATTCATGAATTGCTTCGCTCCTTCCACCATGGGTGCTCTTCAGCACAAGCTTTGCTCATTCTTTATTGAAACAGTATCTCCAGCATAAAATGGGGATGTGAAAGCCAGACCCTTACCTTATTAGAGAACCTTGCCCATTCAGATTCTTATACCTGGACCAGCACACATAACCCTGGATTCCTTCATTGCTTTCGATGAAATAAGCACACAGTTTAACATGTAAAATCATGCAGGTACACATTGATATACTATCTTGCATAGAAGGCAAGGAAGGGTCCTGAGAGATTAAGGTCCTATGCCCAGGTCACAAGAGGAGCACATGGCACAGTGAACTTTTTTATATTAGAAGCAAGCTTCAGATAAGAAAAGTCATTCCATGGGCTGGAGAGATGGCTCAGTGGTTAAGAGCATTGGTTGTTTTTGCAGAAGATGCAGGTTCAAATCCCAGCACCCATATGGCAGCTAACAACTGTCTGTAACTCCAGTTCCAGGGGATCAGACAGCCTCTTCTGTCCTCCACGGTCATTGCACGACACGGGTGCACTTACCTACATGCAGACAATACACGCATACACATAAAATAAAAATAATAAATAAAATTTTAAGAAAAAAGAAAAATCATTCCTTCATCCCCCTTTCATGGCCCTTCTAGCCTCTTGAGCTCTACACATACTCCCAGTTAAACACATGAATCTAAAAGTGCAAAGCTAGGGTCCGTCTACAGTCATCTCATGTTGTGTTTCTTACATCACTTAGTACAGTACTTCCAAGTTCCACCCATTTACCTGCAAGTTTCATTTTTCTTTACTGCTAAAATTTCCATTGTGTATATGTGCCACGTGTTAATTACCCATTCATCAGTTGATGGCCATTTTGATTCCTAGCTATTGTGAATAGAGTAGCAAAAAACATGGATGTACAGATATTTCTAATAGGCTATGGAGTTCTTTGGGTATATATCCAGGAGCGGTATAGCTGAATTTTATGATCATTTTATGTTTAGCATTTTAGAAACCACTGCCTTCTATAGGGGCTGTACCAATTCACACTCCCACCAGCAGTGATAAACATTCCATTTCTCCACATACTCGCCAGCATTTGCTGTCAGTTCTTTTCTTGATCACAGATATTCTGACTAGAGTGAGGTGAAATTTCCAAGTAGTTTTAATTGCATTTCCCTAATATTGAAAACTAAAAGGATACTTAAGTGGAAATTTGTATTTCTTCTTTTGAGAACTGTCTGTTCAGTTCCATGGCCCATTTTAAAAATTGGATTGTTTTCTTGATGTTTGGTTTCTTGAATCCTTTGTATATTCTAGATGCTAATCCTGTCACATATATAGCTGGCAAAGATGTTCTCTTATTTTGTAGGTTTCACTTAACTGTTTCCTTTGTTACACAAAAGTGTTTAAATTTCATGAGATCCCATTTGCTGATTCTTGGCCTCACTTCCTGAACAATCAGAATCCTCTTCAGAAGGTCGTCCCTGTGCCCATATCATGACACGCACGCCCTCCTTTTTCCTCTAGCAGTTTCAGAGTTTCAGGTCTTATCTTTAGGTACTTGTTCCATTTGGAATTGGGGCGTGTGTGTGTGTGTGTGTGTGTGTGTGTGTGTGTGTGTGTGTGTAGAGTGAGAGATTAAGATTTAATTTCATTCTTTTAAAAAGATTTATTTATTTTTATTTTCTGTGTATGAGTGCTTTGCCTGCTTGTATGTAAGAACACCTGTATGTATGGTGCTCTCAGAGACCATAAAAGGATACAGCATCCTCTGGAACTGAAGTTAAGGATGGGTGCTAGCTGCTGGGACCTGAACCCAGGTCCCCTGCAAGAGCATCCAGTGCTCCCAACTGCTGAACCATCTCTCCAGCCCCCAATTCTTGTACTTGTAAATATCCACTTTACTCAGCACAGTTTGTTAAAGAGGGTGTCTTTCCTCCAATCTGTGTTTTTGGCATTTTTGTCAAAATTCAGGTAGGTAAGTTTCATGCCCTTGTAGTTTATATTCTATTCCATTGCCCTCTGTGTTTGCTTTTAATGACAATATCATGCTGATTTGTTAATATGGTTCTGTAGTATAATTTGAAATCAGATATGGTAATACTTCCAGTCTTGCTCAGCATTACTTTGGCTGTCTGGAATTTCTTGTGCTTCCGTATAACTTTTAAAGGTTGTTATTGTTTTTTTAAATTTCTGTAACCCACGGAAGAGATGACTCAGCAGTTAAGAGCACATACTTTTCTTGTAGAGGACCAGTGTTTAGTTCCCAGCATCCATGTTGGGCAGCTCACAATGGCCTATAACTCCAGTTTCAGGGCATCCAACATCCTCCTCTGGCCTTTATGGGCACCTGCATGTACATATACCCACACACAGATACACACATATACATATAATTTTTATTATTTTAATAAGGGTAAATCTTTAAATTTCTGTGAAGTATGGCATTGGAATTTTGGTTGGGGTTACATTGAGTCTATAGATTGCTTTCAGATAACCATTTTCATATTATCTCTTCCAATCCATGAGTATGGGAGGTCTGTCCATCTTCTAATGTCTTCTTCAAATACTTTCTTCAGTGCTTTGAAGTTTTCATTATAGAGATCCTTCATAACTTTATTTGGGTTATTTTATCTAAAAATATTTTATTTATTTTATGTGTAGGAGTATTTTGTCTGCGTGTATGTAAGTGAACCATGTATATGTATGTAGTGGTTGCAGAGGCCAGAAGAGGGTGTCAGAGCCTCTGGAACTGGAGTTAAGTTTGGTTGTTAGTTACCTTGTGGGTACTGGAAACCCAACTCAGGTCCTTTGCAAGAGCACAGCCAGTTTCTTAACTGCCAAACCATCTCTCCAGCTTCTATTTTATTTTATTTTATTATTTTGTCTTTGAGGCTATTGTGAAATGGGATTGTTTCCTTAATGTCTTTTTTCAGTTAATTGTTCACAGGTGTGTATGGAGGTCAGCGATTTCTGTGTGCTAATTTTGTATCCTGTCACTTTACTGAAAAGTGTTTTATCAGCTCTAAAGTTGGTCTCTTTTGTATAGAATCAAGCCATACTTTGACGTCTTCCTTTCCTGTTTGTCTCCCTTTTATTTTTTTCCCTTGTCATATTGCTTTTAGCTAAGAGTGCAAGCACTGTATTGAATAGGAGTGGAGAAAATGGAACCTTTACCATGTTTCTGATTGTAGTAGGCATAAATGCTTTGAGTCCCATTTAATGTGATGTTGGTTAAAGGTTTGTCATGTAGTCTTCATTATGTTGAGACATCTTCCTTCCATTCTGAGTTTTTTCAGGACTCCCAGTATGAAGGGATGCTTCTATGGAGGTGACCTTGTGGTTTCTGTTCTTGAGTCTATTTATGTAATTTATAACATTTATTGATTTTATGTATATTGAACCATCCTGCATCTCTGGAGTAAACCCAACTTGATCGTGATGAATGATTTTTTATTGTTGTATTCTTGAATTTGGTTTGCAGTTATTTTCTGAGAATTTTTGCATCTAAATTCAGTGAAATTGTTCTGTAATTTTCTTTTTCTTTGCTTTTTTTTGTGTGTTGCCTTCATCTGCTTTTGGTATGAAGGTTATACTAGCTTCACAAAAAGAGATTGGTAGTGTGTGCTCCTTCCTTTTCTTGGAGTAGCTTGAGAAGCATTGGCGTTATTTCTTCTCTTCACTAATTTCATTAATTGGGGTCTAATTTTATTAATTTAGACTCCCCTTACAGCTCTACTTTTACTAATTTGAGTCTTCCCTTTCTTTTGGTTAGTTTGGCCAAGAGTTTGCTGATGTTTTCAAATAATCAACTTCTTGTTTAATTGCTTCTTTGTTGGTCCCCTTTCATTAATTTTTGCCCTAGTCTCCTTGATTCCTTTCCATTTACTGACAGGATTTGGCTGTTCTTCTTGTTTCATGTCTTTAAGGTGTATCATTAAGTTATTTGAGATCTCTCTGATTTCTTAATGTAGGCAATTAAAGCTTTTAACTTCCC